AAAAGGTTCGCCATCACTGGTATAGCTGCTCACAGAAACACTGGAACAAACTGACTAACAAGGGAAATCATGTTGTGTCCTAGCCAGCTTGTTTGCAACTTACGGGGAATACCTTTATGCATTATTTATTACAGAATTAACATTTTTCAAGAAAATCTTTTTGATTGTCCAGTTGTAGCACTGGTAGAATCAACTCTGGTAACATATTGTGTCTGATAATCAAACGTAAGAGGAATTTTGACACATAGAAAGGAAAGATTCAGGCTCTTTGACACAACATAATTGTAGCACTGTGATTCCACTTTAAAGTCAAACCTCCAAAGAAGGATACTCCATTACACTTGGCAGCATAGTCCACTGGCAGATAGCTTTTACCATCAGGAAGTTCTTTCTAATGTTTAGGTTAGGTGGAATCTCTTTTCCTGTAGTTTTATGAGGGTTTTTTGGGGGGCAAATAATATTCAGAGGTGTTTTTGCCAGTTCTTTCATCTGAAATATAGCCTAGAGCACTTGGTATTCATTTGCATAGCAATAAAACCAGCCTCTCCTTTGTTGTAGTAATCTTTCTTGACTTTATTATTTGCAGCCAGCTAGTGGCAACTCTATGTGATAGCTCAAGTGGTTAAGTCGCTGACTCTGTTGATTGCAAGATTGGTAGGTTGGCAGTTTGAAGCTCAAATGCTGGATGATGGGGTGAGCTCCTGTCTCTATTCCCAGCTTCTGCCAACCTAGCATTTCGAAAGCATGCAAATGCAAGTAGATAAATAGGTACCACTTCTCAGTGGGAAGGTAAACGGCATTCTGTGTAATCCTGCTGGCCACATGGTCACAGAGTAGTCTCTGAGACTGCTGGCTCTTTTCTTAGTAACAGAGATGAGCACTTCCCCCTACAGTCAGACACGACTTGACAACCTTGTCAACGGGGAATACCTTTATCTTTACTAGTGGCAACTCTGCAAAAAAACATGATTCTATGTAGGACAGAGTCTGTTTATGACATGTATAGTTTACAACATATTCCTCATGCTCCTTTGTCACATTGCCTGCCTATAGTTTGGTGGAGCAGGCTGCATATTCTTAAATGAGTAGAAGTATTTCACTGCTACTGAAAACCACATCAGATATGACTGATAACTGTAA